CGGGATGTTACCCAGTTAGTTCCTGTTACCAAGTTCCAGGCGCATACAAAATACATAACTCGTGTGCTGCTCTCCCCAGATGTGCGACATCTGGCGACCTGCTCAGCGGATCATACCGCAAAGATCTGGAGTGTTGATGAGAAGAAGTTCTCGCTGGAGAATACCCTTCATGGCCACCAACGGTGGGTCTGGGATTGTGCATTTAGCGCTGATAGCGCCTATCTTGTTACCGCTTGCAGTGATCATTATGCCAGGCTATGGGAATTGAGCAGGTCTGTTTCCCGGCTCTAGTGATATCGGTATTGTAGCTAGTTCTTGGCTGATCGATGGCAGTCAACAAATAATCCGCCAGTACAATGGACATCATCGTGGGGCTGTCTGTGTGGCTCTGAACGACTACAGCGAGAGATAGGAATCCCCCGTTATTAACTGTAAAGGCCAGCTACTTAACTCGTCCCAAGGCCCCAAGCGCACCCCTTCGGGCGCGCTGGTTGATTTTTGTCAGTCTAAGGGTTGGAGGGGTTGGGTATGGCTTTTTCCCTGTCGGGGGCTGTTAACACATTCTCTTGTATGATATGATGCAAAGTGTTTAAAATGTGTATCACACCGAGCCCATTACATCACTTAATGCCCTTATTTGAAAGGGTAACGGGTTGTAAATATGGAGGGTGGGTTTTGAAGGTCCCTTGTTCAATTCCTCTCAGGGTTGAGATTTCTCTGTTTTTCCTCCTTCACACTACATCACTTTACCGCAATATTTCCAGGACGGCAGAAAGTAATTCAAGTGTGGCACCCTGATTAATCTTTTGTACAAATTATTCACCCGTCTGTGGGATTTGTGCCCTCTGCTCACAAGTCTCTCACTTTGCAGAAGAGTAAACACAGCTATTCGTTAGATGCACCTCTGGAATTATGTTAGATGATTCTGATTCCCGCACGACTCCCATTATGGAAGAGGTCTTACTGGAGTTGCAGGAAAATTTAATTGCTGTAACTTAGGGATATTGGTGGGGAGGTGGGATATTATGATAGGTATCTTGAAGATGGCATCTGTAATGATTTGATATGATATCGTACCTTTAATTTGAAAATTAAAATTGAATAAAAAATGAAAAATGGAAATCAAATTCAATTGGCCAGAGAACCGAATCCCCGGTCTTTAGAACACACTTTCCTTATCCACAACCCTTCACCCTCACGAGTGAAAGTATTATCATTGATGATGCGACGGGCATGGTATCATACTGTAATGTATGATACAGATTTTAAACACTCTGCACCATAATCTAGGCTTTCCTTTTCACCTTCGCTTTCTTGGAGGCGAGCCTTTCTACCTGAGGTCTGGTACAATATCATACTCCTGATTTGAATTTCCTTTGATTTTTTGCTTTTTTTCTTTCCCCCTTCGGTTGTACAGTACTATACTTGTGTACAGTGCCCAGTGCCTAGTGCACGATAGTTCAAAAATACTGGCTAGCCTATAACTTGGTCGGCACCCGCGAGTTTTCAGTGAAGATGCAGCACTGGAGGTTAGCAAGTTATCATATTATATACCTCTGCATAAACTCAAGTACTGTATTGTACCATATGGTATTAGTGCCGCCTTATAGACTTGTGCGAGATGGTGGCCGGTTGGACCCTGAAGATCTGTATTACCTTTGTTTGGGGGAGTCGGCGTTGACGACCCAGGCTTGTCTCACCTAAACCTTCCAGAATATTATTGATTGGTTTTGAGAGGATTTGTGTGATGGCCATGATAATATGATAGCTCTCCTGGAACATGGGGTGCCTGGTAGACGTTGCTAGCACCCTGAAAGAAAGAAAGGGAGAGGAGCACTCAAGTCCGCAATGGCCCCACATCGAGTGATACTTTGTGCATAATATTTGTCCATATCATACCTGCGATAAACCCCGAACGCATGGAGCGGCCACACCACCCCCTCCGAATAGGAGATTTAGATCATTTAAGACTCCGCTAGGGTGAGTCTATACCCGGAAACCGAGTAAACCCTCCTTCAACAAAAACGACAGCTGATTACCCCGTCCACCCTTTCTGAAATCCATATCATATCACCCCAAGCGCCCGCCCACACCCCCCTCTCCTCCCCAGAAAACCCTCTCCAGGAAAATCTTTCCCCAAACCTACACTGCTCAGGAATAGTTACCAAGGTGACAGATTAATTTACGACCATGTCCCTCTCCCTCCGCGGCAAAAACGTCTTGGTAACCGGAGGCTCCCGTGGGCTAGGAGCCTGCGTGGTCCAGCGCTTCGCGGCCGAAGGCGCGAATGTGGTGATAAATTACGTCTCAGCGGCCGATCGCGCGGGGGCTCTGGCGGAGGAGGTGCGGGAGCAGTACGGGGTTAAGGCGTTGGTTATTTGCGCGGATGTTGGGAGCGATCGGGAGTGTAAGAGGCTCGTGAAGGAGA